GCCATCAACCTACCCCCACCCAGGCCATTCCTGTCAAAAAAAAATTAAGAAAAAAATTATTTTTGGGAAATATTTCAAAATTTTTAAAAAAAATTATTTTTACACCACCACCCCGTCAATTTTTATTTTTTTGAAACATATTTCAAATTTTAAAATTTCATTTTTTATGCCACCCCCAGCCCTACCCCCTACTCCCGGCCACCCCTCATACTTAGGCCATTCCCGTCAAAAAAATTCTTTTAAGAAAAAAAAGTTTTTTGGGAAATATTTCAAATTTAAAATAAATTCATTTTTTATGCCAACTCCACCCATACCCCCCCCCCCGGCGCGCCACCCCAATCAAATTTTATTTTTTTAAAAAAAAATTGTTTTTAAAAGATATTTCATTTTTTTTAAAACCATTTTTATGTCACCCTACCCCCCCGACTCCGTCAATTTTTTTTTAAAAAAGAAATTCCTGGGTCAAATCTCGGGGTCGGATTTTGAAATGGTTATCGGGGTCTTGTCCTAGTTTGGGTGTCGGGATCGGGTCCTAGATCAATTAACGGGGTTGATTTTCGGATCAGAAATTATTTTCCTAAAGATTATTTTTTAGTCTCAAGCCATAAATAAAAGATATTTTCTGAAAAATGTTTTTCATTCACCAACCAAACACTAAAAAATATTTTCTACTCACCAATCAAACATGAGAAATAAGTTAGAAATTCACTTATTTTTCAAGAAAACATTTTCCTTCATACCAAACACACCCTTAATGTGTACATTGGAAAAGTATATGATATATCCCACAATTTTGATATTTAGAGCTGAGAGTAGTTCACATGTTTTTTATATTACTGATCACCATGTTCTTTTCCCAAACAAAATAAAAATGATAGTATAAAATTATTGTTCTGAAGCTAAAAAAAAAAAAAAATCGAAAACACCCATAAATTTGGCGCAAATTATTAGTTCCATTCCTGAACTATTGACAGCCTTAAAAATATCTCTTTTTGACCAACTGAAGCTAAATACACCCTCGATCTTGCAATATTAGTAAAATACACCCTTAAATTCTCGTCAAGCTTAAGAGTGTTTTCAAATTTTCTCTCGATTTTTATTAAGAAGTCTATGCTCCTACAAGAGTTTGAGACCACTTGTTATGTCATGTGGCATATCAAGAATGTGTTGAGGGTGTATTCATGTTTAGTACTAGTTAAGTAGAAGAGTGTTTTAAGACTATCAATAGTTCGAAGACGAAACTAATTATCTACGCCAAGAAGTATTTCCCTTGAGAGTAAAAGATGATGTTATTAAGTGATACCCTTTTGTTAGGAAAAAATTACTTGACAAAAGCTAATATTTCTTCTGTTCGGTTTTATTTGTCCATTATTTTAAAAATAGTTATATTTTTTACTCTGAACAATTATTTATTTTAAGATCTAATATTAATTATCAATTAATTGGATTAGTGTATGACAAGTAAAAGTATGACCAAAGTTTAATAATCCTCTTTTGTCAATTTTGTGCTTTTTATCAACAACTTAATTAATTAATAATCCCCCACCCCCACCTCTACCCCCCTCTCTCTCCCAAAAATTTCATTTTTCAACTATATAGAGAAGACTTTTTTTTACTTCTCTCTCTAGAATGGTATAATTCCCTTGATTTTCTTCCATTTGATTTCACAATTTTTGTATAAAATAGCCCCCAAAATTTGAATAAAGACTTCTCCTTTCTTCCTTGGCTCTTAAGCTTTTTCAGCTATTTGACTATTCAGATCTCAGCTGAATTTCTGGTGGCAGCTTTTCTTGGAGAAAAAATTTGAGACAGTAACAAAACTTTGCTGAAATGGCTAACCATTATGATCGCAACCCTTTTGCTGAAGAAGAAGAAGTTAACCCCTTTGCTGTAAGCTCTCTTTTTTTCTGTTTTTTTTTTGGATGGGGGTGATTGTTTTATGTATGTGGAACTAAAGTTCAAGTCTTTTTCCTAATGGGTAAGTGAATTGACTGATTTCTTGATAGTATAAGACTTGAAATTGACTTTGCTGAATTGGGTATTTGGGGTTTTAATCTTTTGTTTTATGATGTAACTTTATGTTGAGGTTCTATGTTTGGTACTCATTTGTGTATGTATTGTTCTTTGTTGATAAGTTAGAATAACCTTGCCTGTTGTTGAATATTTTCGAGTTTACGAGGTGATTGTTGTGTGAACTTTTGGGTCATAAACCTTTGACTTGGTTCTTCTAATTTTAATGTTTTAACTAACCAAACTCGATTAATGTCGTGCAGAATCGAACCAAACAGCTAACCACCACAATTCATACAGAAATGATATAGCACAATCTGATAACGATTCAACAATTACACGCAAAAGCAATTAAACAAAGCTAAATTAGAAATGTCCAGATCCACACTTGTCTTCCAGTGTAATCACTAAAACTGTGCATCATATCTGAAGATGAGAGTAACACTATCAGCTGCGCAATTAGGAAATTTCCATGGTTCATGATAGAGGACAAAAATTAGGAGTTTAGAAGATATAAGGAAGAAGATGAGAATTGGGAGAGATAGGATTCAGTTGAGAGTGAGAAAAGCATGAGAAAAGATCATACCATATTCATTGCCTTCTCCTCCTGATGAAACTGTATTTGTATGCGTTTTCCCCTTCTGATATGAGCCGTCCCCTCATTTTAATCACAACCCTTCATTCTTATTT